AAAATAATTTGTGATAGTGTTAGTATTTTTATCTCATCAATGGCGTCCCTTTCATGCATTTCATCTTCCAATTCAACGTCACGCTCTTCACTTTCTTCATCTTCTTCGTGGGTCAAATTTTATGTCATAATCTTGGAAAAAGCACAGCCTAAGGCGGCCATTGCTTCCTTCTGCTCGTAGATAAATGGGCTGAATTTGGGTCTCTATTGCTTCGATTATTAGCCTACCGCTTTCATAGTAGGGCCAAACTTGCTGGGAATTTGAGTGGCTGCTTATGGTTGTTAGCGGCGAGGGAAAACTACGACAAGAAATTTCTATCGATGCTTTATTAAAATTTCTTAATTCCTACTTTTGGTTTTTCTGGTGCAGTTTGGATTGAGCTGTAACTATTTGAGAAGATGCTGCAATCAGAAATATCAATACCTATTTCGCTTCCTTGATTTTTTGTACATATCTGCAGGCTGATTTTTTTCACCTGGTGACTTTTTTCTCAAAGGGTTGAATATATGGGGCATCATTTTCCTTTATTGACTTCGGGCTTCTGGAATAGAGATTTTGAAGAGAACTCCAACCAGTTATTTCACGATTTTCTTTAACTTTTAGGATATCATTAGTTCCTATTGGTGGTGATGCGGATGTTGTTGGGTGAGTAATGGTGGCTGCCGACGGTGGCTGTGGTGGTTGAGTGGAGTGGTTTTGATTTTGGGGAAGAATTATACTTCTTCGTGTTCTCGAAGAAATACAAATTAAAAAAAATAAAATCACATATTTAATCATTGAAGGAAAGCATAAAATTTATGTCACATGGACATTGATTTTTTATATGATTATATCATAGTTAATCATGTTTTTGAAAATTAATCATGTCTTTTATTTGATTTATTAGTTATTCAAATTTGAAACATTATATTGAACTAGCAGTTCAATTACTAAATGTATTATTATTTGACATGATTGATTGGACCATAATTGGATCAATAATGATGCAAAATTAAAAATGGATATTCAATGAAAAATCACAAGATTCTTCAATCCAATTAATCCCTATATTTCATTTATTCTCTTTCGTGAAAATTTTTCATTAACTATCGCTAATTAAAATAAGAAATGAATTTTTTATATTTTTGAAAATTAATTAGGGTGATAAATAGGGCTCCATCATGCATCACATTGATCATTTAAAATATTATTTGTATCTAATGAATTTGATATATATACTAGATGATTGCATGGTGTTCGTAACCTGAAGTTTATGAAATTGCTCTTCAAATTTTAAATTATGAGCATAATTTTCAGATTATGTAATCAAAATCGTGTCTCATTAATGCTAGTGAACATAAATCTCAACACTTTAATAAGCATTAGTTAGGATGTCGATAAATTAAATGTCTCCAATTAATTTAATCGAGAACAAAGTATTTCCCATTTTTATTTAGGGATATCTATTACGCATCATGCCAAAAATTATAGTTCTCCCTATTATAATTAGCTTATAATTAGAGTCTAATTTTTCCTCTAATTATTTTGTTATTGCAGTATATGTAAAATTGAATCACCACAATGTATTGAGATGAAAAATAAAGAATGCTGAGAATAAGGCCCTGTTTGAGCTCTATTAATTTTTTGTAATGTATTATGGAATAATAAAATGATGGAAAATCTATGATTAAAAACGAAGAATTTTTTTTATTTACATATAATATTATTTTAATAAAGAATGTGTGGTTGAAAATGAGTACCATGAAAAAAAATAATGAAAAAGAATGGAAAAAAATGAGGCTCAAACAGGGATTAAATGCATAGCTTGAATCTTTATTCCAAGTGGATGATATTTTATAATACTGAAAAAATGAATATCAATTCGTGAGGACAATTCTCTCAGTATTAAGGGAAGGAATTAAGAAATTGAAAATAATGTATAAATGCATCATCATCTAAATCCTAGAAAAATATCATTCTAATCGAAAGTTCAAAAGATAATTTATTTAGATGTATTTATTTATCAAAAGAGATAAACAATATTTCACGCACGAATTTTAAATGCTTCAACATGAATCGATGTCCTATGAGAATAATTTATTAGCATTATATTTCATATATCTTTGATGCGCATGAAGCGCGATTATGTTTAATTTTAATACAAAAAATTTTCAAGCGAAAATGGAGCAATTAGCAAATATGACCTCACTAAGAGGCATATACTTTTGATGAGTATTTAGATATAACAAATTATAAAATCTCATAATAGACGAAATAATGAAACTTGAGATATCCCAACGAGTTTATGTCATTATGGGAAAAAAATAGAATAAAAAAGAAAAATTGTCGACAACATTTTACACACGATGTATTGCATCGTATAGCGAGATATCAAAATAAATGCATCGAGATATATTGATCAACGTAATGGCTGACCAAATAAAATGGAAGCAAGTGGTATCATTGTTTTAGCGAATATTTGTTAAATGAATGCTATGAAATGATGATGCATGCCCATGTGTTTTCATAAAAAAACAATTATGGCAGATTAAGTTGATGATTTAAATTTAATTCGAAATTTTGAATAGCTTAACAAAATTGCTGATTATTTGAAATATGAATTTGAGATGAAAGATTTGGGAGAAATCAAATTTTGTATTAGGTTAAAGATTGAACACTTGCCAGCATAATTATTTGTTCATCAATCACCATATACGAAAAAAAAAAGTCTTAAATCGTTTTTGTATGAACAATGCACATCCATTGGCATAACTTTTGGTTGTTCGATCACTTGATATTAAAAAAAAATTATTTTGTCTACTTGAAGATGGAAAAAAAGTTCAGGGTCTTGAGTACTATATTTTAGTGCAATTGGAGTATTAACTTATCTTACAAACTGAACTCGACTCCATATAATTTTTTTCCTAAAAATCTCCTTGTAAGATATAGCTATACACCAATTCAAATACATGGAATGATGTTCAATATATTTTTTGTTGCCTAAAGGGCACCGTCGATTTGAGATTATTGTACTTTTAAAATTTGAAATCCGCTTTAGCGAGATATGCAGATGTAGGTTATCTCCCTGACTCACATAAAGCTAAATCACAAACAAGATATATGTGTACACGTGAAAAACAACTACATCATGTTGATTTGTAAAATAATTATTGACAGCAACATTATCAAATCATTCTAAAATTATTGCAATCCATGAAGCAGGGCGAGAATGTGTATGGTTAAGGAATATGACCTATCATATCCAAGTATCGTGCAGGTTTACCTCAACAAAGGATAGTCCAACAATCTTGTATGAAGACAATATAGTTTCCATTTCACAACTCAAATAAAGCTATATCAAAGGTGACAAGACGAAACATATTTCTCCAAAAATTTTTATACATATAAGTTTTGAAAGAATGGCGACATTGATGTCTAACAATTTCACTTAAGTGATAGTGTGGCCAATTTATTTACAAAAGCATTGTCAACATTTATATTCAAGAAATTGGTTCACGAGATTGGAATGTGTCGACTAAAAGATTTTTAGTGATCAACATTAGGAGAAGTAGTTGTACCATTTTTCCTTCTCTTAAGTTTTATTCCACTAAATTTTCCAATTTGTATTATTTTATTTCCTTTCATTTTTTGTCCCATTAAACTTTTATCAAACAATGTTTTAACGAATCACCTATTTTGTAATGTGTCATTTAAGGGGAGTGTTGTAAATGACAAGTTTATTAGTGAATGCTAATTGTACCTCTTACAGCTCTATAAATTACTATTGTTGTACAGTGGCGGATCTAGGTAGTGGCGAGCTAAGGCGGCCATTCGTCGGAACCGTCGGATAAATTTTTTTTGTAGACAATAGATTAAATTTTAACGTCATATCATTGTAACTCATTTCTTTTTCGAACTTCTCTTGTAGTTCAGTTGCTTAGAGCTTATATGTGCATATATGAAGTCTCGGGTTCGAATCACTTACTAATAAATTTGTCGTGTTTGATTTTTATTCTACAAATTTTATCAAAATTCAATAGGGAGAGGGACAAAGGGGATTTGAATCTGTGACCACTTGCAAGGGTTGTTATAAATTTAACCATTACGACATTTTTTGAGTTATGTCGCTAAATTTAACAAAATAATATTTGTTAGGTTTTAATGCAAAAACAATTATAAAGATTTGAATTTGCGCTTTTCCTTTGAATTATACAAAACTTGGCAAAATATCATTTGATGAGTCTTATTTATTTTTATAACAGAATTATATATGTTCAATTGGAGCAAAATAATTGTTTTATTTAAACTTTAGGCCTTGTTCGATTCCCATTTTTTTCAAAATACATTTTTCTCTTATTTTCATCTACACATTTTTCAATAAAATAATATTACACACAAATTCAAAATTTTTCTTTATTTTTAGCCAAACATTCTCTATCAAATCATTATTCCAAAATGTATTTTTTTACAAAAAAAGGTATTAAACGGTCTCTTAATATTTTATTGCGGTCGACATTAAATGGTCAACGGTCGCCTCGTGCTGACTCAAACTTTTGGATTCGCCCCTACTGTCATATCCCTATAAATATAGAACTTTAATTTTTAATAAAATACATAAAAGTTTATTGACTTCTGTATATTTTCTCCTCTTTTCTTTATTTTCATAAAAAAATGTAATTTTTTTTTAGTAGAAAAACTTATGAGATCACAAGTAAAATTATTTCTGGAGAAAAAAATATACTTCAAAGATAAGTTTAAAAAAAATTTTAAAAATTTGTACGGAATATAACTGTAATTGACAATCCGCTAATATCATGCCCTTGTTTGAACTCCATTTTAGGAGAGAAAATGAATTTTTGAATAGTGTATTGATGGAAAATGTACGATTAAAAATAAGATTTTTTTTATTTGCATATAATGTTATTTTATTAAAAAATGTGTAGTTAACATAATATTAAAATATTATTAAAAAATGCATTTTTATTAAAAGATTGGGCTCGAGGGCATGTAATTTTATTTTTCTGAGCCAGATGGTAACGGGTAGTTCCCTAATAACAACTCGGCGACGCAATTCCTCTGTGTTAGGGCTCCACCCTTTTTTGTTCTCCCCTGCACGGTGGGTTAAATGGCGAACAAGCTATACGGCTACAACCCTAGCAACTACAGTGGTGGAGGTGCCGCTGCCAGTAGTCTCTACGGCTCTCGATCCGTCACGGAACCCTACATCCCTGGTGCCACTTCATTTCTCGGAACCGCCTCCAAATACCTTAACTCCGACTCACTCTCATCGTCCTCCGCCCTTTCCTCAGCATTGTTATACAACTCGGACAGTCACTCCTCTAGAATTCCCGGTATCTCCGTCGCTACTCCCACCCACTCGTACGGACCACCTGGCGTCGACGTGGGTTCTGCAGTTGTGTCTACCGACACTCTTTACTCTGGGTTGAAGCGCCCTTCCGCTGAAAGTAAGGAGTTTCTATCTGTTTCTGTTTTTCTTTTATTTTTTGTTGTAATTATCTATTTTCCGTATTTTTGTCTGACAGAACGTAGCTACGATTCAATTGCTGCTTTTAATATAAATGCTGTTCTAGATGCAAAAATATGAATCAATATCCTGCTTCTACAAGTGTTCTTGTGACAGTTTACTCATGTTAGCATTGCGTGTATTCTTAAGACTCTGTACGCTTTTACAGCTTGTATATATATATATATATATATATATATATATATATATATATATATAATTAGTAGAACACGTGAGATCAAATAGCTTCCTATGTGATATCGGAAATGGAAGATTGCTGAATGAGTTAGTAGATAATACCCAAAAACTAAATATTATGAAAATCCTGCTTATGTTAGTTTAATTCATCTGGAGTGACCAAGGAACCATTCTCGCAGAAATAAATTCACATTTGGAGATTACAGCTGGTAGATTGTATATTAATACTGAATTGAAGACTCATTTTGGGTTTAGTTGGGATGCTATATTTATTTTGGAGTCAAAGGAGCGAGAGTTAGAGCTGGAATATCAAAATAAGAATATATTTCAAAATTTTTGAAGTGTGATAGAGTTCCTAGTAAAAAATGTTTCTATGTTATGTGATATGCCAAATAATTTTTTTTTTTTAATTAAAATAGGTTAAAGTCTATGAACAGCGTGGGTTACATTGGCCTCTCCTTCTCAAAGACGAATGTACTTTAGTTCTATATAGTTATAAATATACGCTGTGCTAGCTTAATGTAAATGCTCTTTGTTAACTCGTCTTCTCAAGGAGGCTTCAATCAAGAAAATTGCTGAGGAAAGAGAGTTTGAACGTTTTCCTATGTGTGTGATATAGATTA